CGTTGGCGCGCCAGGTAGCCTGCAGCTTGGCTAACGGGTGACCCTCCTTTCCTGGGTAACCCGCCTCGTGGTTTCATCGCATGGGCCAGTTCTGGTATTCCAGTCTAGCGACTAAAAGCAAATCTCTAGGTGTCCTGGCGACCGTAGCTTGAAGGTGTTCCTAGAACTCAGCCTTGACTACTTCATTTGCTTGTAATGTTGGGGCATATGCAGCATCCACACACATATTTGCTAAGCTGCCTTTGAGACAGGCTGAGGTAATCCGCTCCAAGATAGGCTCCAACGCGAACAGAGTGCTATGCACCTAATTTTTCACGGATATTTCCATCCCATGCTATCCTGTGTTCGTTTTCGGACCACTGTAAAGGAGCACATACCCCGCATCTTCTTGTGGAACCTTGACTTCTCTCGATCCGGGCTCTGAAATACGAACTTCTGTCAGAGAGACAACGTTTGCCTCATGGTCCCACAATGCGCGTGCTACATGTGCTTGACTTCCGACATCAGGCAATGTCCGCACATTCCAACAACTAATGGTCAAGTTTTGTCGAGAATTTAGGGTACTGACTTGCATATTTGACATTCCGGGCACCAGACGAACACAGAACGCGTCGCTTCCTGGGGACGCCGTAACAGTATTGAGATCAGTGATATTTGTATTGTCCATGAAGTTCGTCGGAAATTTTATTACAGGTGCCGTCCGCAGTGATACTTTTCATTGTCCTCTATTAGCCGTGAGTGTACACATGTTGTCTTCGCCCCACTACGAGGAGGTCGAGGAGTTAGATTTAGGTCCGCCCCATATATTCATCATATTCCTGATCTCAGATGACAAGAAAACGAGCTCGTGCTTCAATATTAGAGTGTTGCACTCAATGCCCAATGGTGCTGGGTTCGAATTTTGTTTGATCCACACCTCGGATTGGGTGTGACTGGCTGATGAAGGCTAATAAGCCAGAAATGGCCATTCCGATCTCCCTCCTTTCTGTCGGATCCCCTTCATGATTGTTATCTGTATTTAAATCACTCCCAATCTGTCTGGCCGTTTTTTTTTACTGATAATATGCCGCATACCATTAGCCTTTGTAGGCCTTTTCAAGAAATTTTTTTTTGCCCTTCTTAAATATTGTAGGTATTATGGTTTCTCGAGAATGTTGTGGTGTTACTTTAATTGTTCAACCTTGCTTCTAAACTCCCTTTGTTCTCTTGACAACCCTAATCATCTTTTGTGCTGATCTCGTTCTGCAAAACAGGCAGCAGTCCTCTGCAATTTTACTGCGATACGCAGCACTCATCTTTTTTTTATTTCGATCACAGATGAAATTCAAGTTAACTTCGTCTGGTCTTTTTTTCTTCGCGGCACTTGTGTGCTGCATCTGGTCCTGCAAGGTAAGTCCCTGATGTGGGCGTATTCGTTTCCAAGGCAGTAGGCTCTTCAGTATGTTTTATATTTTAATCTACAAGGAGATATGCTACTGTACTCCTCCTTCCGTTTTTGGTAATTTATTTTCGCTTATAACGCAAAACAAATTCGTCAAAACATTTGATGAAGGTCAGGAAATAAAAGAATCGCGTGAAAAGAAGAGAGGGTTAGTTCTGCAAAAGCTTGCTCCATGAATATTTTGAGATATAAGTAAAACTATACATAACTTCCAACATATTCGTCATTTCTACGAAAAAATTACCCGAAGGAAAGTTTGAATATAGTTACTCTCTTTAACTTACTTTTAAAATTAGTTTATTATCTTAGATCCTCTCCTTAGCATTAAGTTGAGTTTCCGTCCCAATGAGGTTCGTATCTTCTTTTATTTCTAACTTTTGAGTAGATTCATGCTGTTTATGTATAGCGGTTCCTCATTTGTTTAATCTGCACTATTTTAACGAACTCAGCCGCAACAATCAAGACTCTTCTACGACTTCAGTGCACTGGACATCGATGGTAAATTAAAACAAATGGAGGATTACAGGTAGATCTTCCTGTGACTTGTCACTTCGCTTTTCGAAAGGGGTCAAGTTGTGTTGGTTGTCAACGTTGCTAGTGAATGAGGTCTAACCGACCGCAATTACCGTCAGCTTCAGGAACTGTATACCACCTACGCTGACCAGGGCCTTCGCATCCTCGCCTTTCCATCCAATCAGTTTGGCGGCCAGGTAAGCAAAGTGTGATCTAATCATGAATTCCCGCAGGAGCCTGGCACCAATGAGGAGATCAAACACTTCGCGGTCGAGAAATACAAGGTCTCCTTCGACCTTTTTGACAAAGTTGACGTGAATGGACCCAACGCTCATCCAATTTTTGTCTACCTACAGGAATCCCTCTCTGGTTTCGTGACAAAGTGGGTTTGAATTTTGAATGTGTCTATTTTTTCTTGTCGCGACACATTTTTTTCTGTTACGTATAAGCACTTTGTTGTCCAGCCATTAAAAGTAAAACATTCCCTGGAGCTTCCGTTTCAAAACTACTTATTTCGCGCACAGTGGCTTGTATCTCTTTAAAAATTAAACTTGTAAGGTAGGTGGGGTCTTAATTCATGGTTTGCATTTCGTCAATACATGGGTGATTTCCTTATTTCTCTACGTTAAAGAACCTCTGGCAATTCAAAAGTGCTCAGAAAACCATCAAGTACTTCCTCTTTATTCTTTCTTTTGAGCACACGTTATTTTTATAATTAGCCTGTAGCGTTATCTAAAATACACCTTTTTGGTCCGGGAGCGTTTTTTTCCTAGCCGATAAAGTAAAGCAGTTTTAAGTAATTTTTCCAAAAGTATTTCTTACTGGCTTGAGTTCTTAATCTTCTAGTTTAGTCGCTACTAGACGTGAGTCCTGTTTCGACATGTGAACCTCTTTTGACCACCGGACAGCTCATAAGTATTTATTTTGATGCCTTGCTGTACTGTAGTTTTACACGTGCCTTGAAGATGACAGTTAAGGCCTCCCTCAAGAACATACAAATTCGATGACTTCTGACCAAAAAATTATTAGGTCTTCTGCTAGTTCTTTGAAGCCTGACACATAATAATTTTGAACTCATGAGCACGATAAAATGCGATTTATTGCGCACCTTGTCGTACGTCGCGGATGTTTCATGCAATACACTAGTACCCACTGAGGCGCATTTGCTTGCTATCGATTGTAAGAAGTTCGTTACAATACAAGCGAACATGCGAGTCCCGGGACGTAGTTGAGAAAAATAACATTTGATCGCTGGGACAACATGTTTATTCGCCTGGCCTTTCGACATCTGTCGCGGATTCTTCATCAGAGACATCGGCAGTAATCTGCTTCGGCTACTTTTTTCTGCTGATGTCGCTGATGAAAAATCCGCAACAGGTGTCGAAACGTCAGGCCAGTAAAAGTGTTGTCCCAACGATCGACTCTTTTTCTTCTCAAGTTCGGTTCAGTTGCACGATTTTAGGCACTTGGTGTACG